ATACTGTGTTAAAACAAACATAAGATTGGTGGACGAATTATCAACAATCTGCGTTATGCGGATGACACAACCCTGCTTGCTGAAACTGAGGAGGACCTGAAGCGCCTGCTGCAGAGTGTCAAGGACTGCAGCCTACAATATGGATTGAGGCTCAATGTCAAGAAGACAAAGATTCTCACCACTGGACCAATTGGCAGCGTCAGGATGGATGGTGAAGAGATTGAGATTGTACACAGCTTTAGTTTGCTTGGCTCCATAGTCAACAGTCTTGGCACCAGCAGCCAGGAAATTAAAAGGCGCATTGCCATGGGAAAGTCTACTGTTAGGGACCTCTCCAAAGTGCTGAAGAGCAGTAGTGTCTCTCTGGAGACTAAGGTGCGTCTGATACAGGCCATGGTCTTCGCAATCACCTGTTATGCATCAAAGAGGTGGACAATGACCAAGGAGGATAGAAGGAGAATTGATGCCTTTGAGCTGTGGTGCTGGAGAAGAGTATTGAGAATACCATGGACTGCTAGGAAAACAAACAGATTTGTCCTGGAAAGGGTTAAACCGGGTGGCTCCTTGGAGGCAAGGATTCTGAGGCTCCGTCTAACTTACTTTGGACATGTTGTGAGGAGAGACCGGTCCTTAGAGAGGGACATCATGCTTGGGAGGGTGGAGGGATGGCGCAAGAGAGGAAGGCCCCCTATGAGGTGGATTGATTCAGTGACTGGGATAATTGGGATAGGAGTGTCAGAGACAGTGCGATTGGCACAGGACAGAGCGGAGTTTAGGGCTGTTGTACATAGTGTCGCTATGAGTCGCAGGCAACTCGACGGCACATAACAACAACAACATAGATGACCCTCCAATGAGTCTGTAAGGCTGTAAATGACAAAGAAGGGAATTTTCCACCTTGCTCTGAGGGAGCTTTGGGGGGATTTGAACCATCAGAAAGTCATGGCCTTTGGGTTGGCTGAGCAATTCCCTATGGACCACGCCACCAGAGCTCCCTCATTGCTGCTTAGTCAAAGAGGACTTCTTGAGCAGTGAGGGAGTTAAAAAGCTTTCTTTATATCTAAGAGAAAGTTCAGCCTATCATCTACCAAAAGGCCTCATATAGGTTAATGCTTTCAAGTAATTTCTCAGTTTTCCCAAGTATAAAAAAGGCTGGAGGATGACGGTCTGTGAGCCTGACCAATAGGACCTTGGTCGTGTGGAGAAGCAGTGAGAGAGGAAAGTGAACATAGGTTGTAGAGTCACATTGTTTCTACCCAGTTCCTGTCATGTCTCCACGTTATCTAAGCAGAGTGAGCATTTGCACATTCTACACAGGTTCTATACTTGTCAAGGTTGTTGGAGGCATGGAACTGGGCAGAATTCTGTACAAACAAACAACAACAAAACCTCAGCATGGGCATGGATCACTGTTGTGTGACCTCCTGTAACTGCACAAGGAGGAGGAAAACCCCGTTAGTGGAATCAAGAACCCAAGACCAGTTCCTTGGGGTCAAACATGCCTCACTCAGTGCTCCACCTTCTAAATCTTTCTGTCACTTTGAGCACCAGCTTCCCCTTGTCTGGAACTTTTTACTTCTCTACAGCAGCCAGGAAATCAAGAGATGAATTGCATTGGGAAAGTCAGTTGTGAGGGCCCTCTCAAGAGTACTGAAGAGCAACGACATCAGGCTGGAGACTAAGGTGCACCTGATCCGGGATATAGTCTTTGCAATGACGTGCTATGCGTCAGAGAGTTGGACAACGAATAGGCATGATAGAAGGATAATTTATGCCTTTGAGCTGTGGTGCTGAAAAAGCGTGTTGAATATACCACGGGCTGCTAGGAGAACAAACAGGTTTGTCCTGGAGAAGGACAAAAGGAATGCTCCTTGGAGTCAAGGATTCTGAAGCTTTGTCTGACATACTTTGGGCATGTTGCAAGGAGGGACTGGTCCTTGGAGAGGGACATCATGTTTGGGAGAGTGGAGGGATGGTGCAGGAGAGGAAGACCTTCGATGAGATGGATCAATTCTGTGAGTGGAGTGGTGAGAATGAGTGTGTTTGAGACGGTGAGATTGGCACAGAATAGAAGGGAGTTTAGAGCTCTTGTACATAGGGTTGCTATGAGTCGCAAGTGACTCGATGGAACATAACAACAACTGGGTTCAATAATTTGGTATAGTGACCGTAGCCTCCGTACTAAAAATTGTGAGGTTTATTCTTAATCAGGCCAACCACTCTCCTCAGGGAGCTCTGGTGACCTCATGGTAAGAAGCTGAGCTGCAATTCCAAAGGCACTAGGTTCAAATCCACCAACTGCTGCACCAAAGACAGGCAATCTCTTCCCATGTGATTAACCTCTCCCCTGAGGCATGCCTGAAAGCAGACCTCTCCAGGTTCATGGTGTTACCTCTGTCCTACTCAGGCAATGTTCTTTGAGCTCATTGGCTTAAATGCTCATAAAGCACCCTGCCTTCTATCTGAAGGCACTCCGTGTTCTTGCTTTCTGGGCCAGGAAGCCCACTTCATTGTCTCCTACGTGTCTTCTAGTTCTTCCGCCTCTAATTACCACTGAATCTCTGCTATTGCTTCTCACAGAGTCTCTGGTGTACTGGATGAGAAGGAGTCAATGCACGGTTCTCAGGTCTAACATCCTAGGTGATCATACTCCACTTCCTTCCTGAGAGCAGTGTCGTTGACTTTCATTGTCTGACTCTTTGACTCTGGGACAGCTACATCTTATTATCTAGCAGGATAATAAAATTGACCAATCTTACCCCAAAGGTGCCATATGTCTGATTTATTAGCATATTATCCAAACCCCTTGGTAAACTACAAGCACTTCACATTTACATATTCCCTCCTTAGAGAAGAACATCATGCTTGAAAAGGTCAGTAAAAGACAGGAAGACCTTCAACCAGACAGACTGACACAGTGACTGCTGCAATGGGCTCAAGCATGTCAGAGGTGATGAGGACAGCACAGGATAGGACAGGGTTCAGATTTGTTGTTCATAGTGTTGTTATGAGTCATAATAGACTCAATGTCATCAAGCAGCAGCAAGACAGCCCAATCAACCATGGGCTTGAACACGGCAAAGATCATGAGGATGGCTCAGGACAGGGCAGGGCAGGGCTTTGATTCGTTGTTGATAGTGTTGCTATGAGTCAGAGTCGACTTGATGGCACTTATAACAATAACAACTCAGTCATTTGATGGGTGTTACAAAGATAATGGATTGGAAGAGCGGCACTAAGTACTTTACTGCCCTGCAACGCCTGACATGCTATGGTTGGACATAAACCTTGTGTCTTTCATTGAACTTGCAATTTAACGAAGAGGCCCAAACCCAAACCTACTGAGTGTCTGAGACTGTAAATCTTTATGGGAGGAGACTGTTCATCTTTCTCCCTCACAGCAGCTGGTGCATGTAAACTGCTGATCTTTTCATTCAGCAGGCCAGTGTCTAATGCACTGTGCCACCAGAGACCCCTAACGGAGATTTGCAAGTAACTAAGTTCTCAGGGTTAGTATCTCTGCCCAGTGGTTCCTGCAGACCTCAGCCTCGGGTGTGTTTGCTTCTTCTGTCTCCCTGGGAACAGCCTGAGGGCCACATGATCCAGATGCGTTGGTGCCCTTATTCTTCTGATGTGGCCGAGACCCCAGTGCACAGCTGAAGCTGAGTCCTCTGGTGTGACTAAGTCGCAGTCACTAACTTTTTTCTTAGTAGCTGGGAAAGGAAGTCAATGTCCTAAACTCAGGACACAAGGAACAACAGGTCTCCCCTTTAGTCCTCACTCTAGGCTCAAGGCAACAGAAACAGAACTGTGATTTTGTAGACATGGAAAAAATGTCAGATGACATTGTAGGATTGGATAAGAGAAATCAGCACGTAAGGTCTTGGAAGTCAGGGTGATCAAAATACAAAGAAGATTTAAAGCCATGAGTTGATATTAAGCAAATGCTGTGATATGTGTGTAGGGAAAATTCTCAATTTCACCTGAAGGGCATTTTGTTAAGCAGGAGGTTTTCCATCCCAGCTCAGTTGGTCCCATTTAGATGTAGCCCAGCATTCCTGACTGACTGAGCAGAATGTGTCCTTGTGATGAAGGAAAGTGCTGACGCTGTCAACCCCTCCTACCGCTGGTCCCTGACCGATGGTGATGGTGCTCGTGGGGGTGGGGCAGAAGCAAGCCTCTCCTGCTGGTGCAGACCAGGCATCCCAGCAATGCACCTAACACACGGTGGGGGCACATTTCTGAGGAGGAAGCAGAGCCCTCACATCTGAAGGTGCTTCGTGGTTTACCAGGAGGCCTGGTGGCACAGTGGTTGGCTGTTAGCTGAAAGGTCAGCAACAGTTCAAGCCTACCAGCAGCCCCACTGGAAAGAGTGATGGTAGAGTGTTTCTGTGGACATGACAGCCTTGGAAACCCTGGTGGATGGTTCTACTCTGTCCCACAGGGCCACTCTGAGTGGAAACTGATTTGATGGCAATGACATTGAATTTGGCTTCCTTTGTGAGCTAACAAGTACCTTCACCCCCTTCATGCCTTTATGTCCACAGTTCTAGTTGAAAAAGTCAAGGCCATGCTAGCTGGCTCCAGTTTTCATAGTCGTGGCTGAGTGGGAATTCCAGCCAGGATCTGGGCTTCCTGGGCTTGTGTTCTTCTCAGCTCATCACTCTTCCCAAGCACTGGAAATTTCCAGAAACTGGGCACCCACCATCATGACAGCCAGGCTCAGGGGGCTTTTATGCAGTTCTGGTCAAAAAATGCCTCATGACAAGAACATGCTACCCACCTCTGACCTATCTTCCTCAAATAACCTTCTACCTAAATGTTAATATTTATCATTTACAGCCAGTCACTGCCCCCTTTCAAAGGTGAAAACAGTAAAATTTATGACAGGCACATTATCAGTCCACAGAAGAACTTATAAAAGCCGGAAAAAGGGTGTGAGCCTGTCCATCTGCCACATTGCATCGTCCGCAAATTGGAGACATCGGTCAGATTCTGCCATGGGGCTGCGGCTGAACGCTCTCCCCATGAGGCTTCTGCTGGTGCTGCTGCTGGGGCAAGGTAAGCGCGCCTTTTTGTTCAGAGGGCAACCGGTCGGTCGTCCAGCCCTTGGTGGGATCTCACATTGCTTAGACAAGGAATTTGCAGGTAGAATGTGTCCTTTTCATGGCACGTGGGAGATATAGCACAAAATGCATGGGTTGATCATGGGAAAGCTTAGTTTGGCTCTTCCTGAATGGGATGCAAGGAAGGCCTCCAGAGTGGCTGAGGTTCAAACACCCCAAAGACTGTGGGAAAAGAGGAGGATGTTGGGATAGATATGAAGTACAGAAGGCGATGCCATGGTGGGAAAAGATCATTGTGTGTTTGGTTTCTTAACCTTTAAAAAATGTTTTCTTTTTGTTGTTATTGTTGAAAATATACATGGAAAAACATACAACAACTCAACTTTACATGTTCTGTTCTACCTAGCATGGACCACTGGCCACTCATTTTCCACATGTGCAATCAGCCCCCTTTTCTGAATGATTCCTCCATAGTTAACATTAACACAGCCCCAAGGGGAGCTCTGGTGGCCTAGTGGCAAGGAGCTGCAACTACAATCCCAGAGGCGCACGGTTCGAATCCACCAGATGCTCTGCCGGGGAAGGAGGGACAATCTCCTCCTGTACCAGTCAGATCAGATTTGACGGTACACGCACACAAAAATAATAAAATTTTTTTTAAAAACCCCATTAACACAGCCCCTTGGTGTTAGCTTTCTTTATTGGCAAAACAGAAGACTTACAAGGGCAAGTATAGGGTATGATTAGATTCTCACAGGTAAGAATTTAAACCATATGTTTCTTAGGGAGCTCTGATGTCAACCCAAAGGCAGTCTGAACCCACCAGCTTCCCCTTAGGAGAAAGGTGGGCAATCTCCTTCCAACCCATTTACAGCCTCTGAAAACCTGCTGCAGAGTCAGCTAAGAGTTGGTTCTGACTCAACAGCACATAATAATCACAGAACTTCTTTTCTTCTGTATCCAAGGGATGTTGGAGATGTCTGAGTAACAATTTGATAGAATCTATATGAACCTTTATAAGCTCTGCTCAGGTGATTTTTGCTATGCCACTGGAATTTTTAGCCCTTAGACCATCAGGTGCAGGGTCAAGATCTTTGTCTGGGGATTGGTATCAAATGCAATGGAGAAGTTAGAGGTACATCCAGAGCAGATACAACGTGGTTTTTAATAGAGGTGTCTGATGTAACTTCAAGGAATAGTCTGTACATTCACTGTACCAATTCAATGTTAAAAAGTCTTTCTCTCCCTGGCAAATTTGCAAAGTTGGTGTCATACACAAAGCAAGAAAGACTGTTTTCCAGTTGAGGGCCAGACAGCTATGGTTAATGGCTGGGGGACAGAAAAATTCATAGGTGATGAGATATATCTATCACTTATTTGATATTCTTCACTCCAAGGAAGAGGTTTAAAAGGTGGCAGATTTTATTATGGAAAGAGTACCACCTGTAGCTATCAGAAATTGATCAATTACATCATCTAGATGAACATCTTCAATAATCACCTAGATTATTCTTTGCTGTTTGAGGACAATGCAAGATATTTGGTGTTTGAGCTTCCCTAAAGTACCCTAGTTATCTGAATTGGGGACATTTTCATGATTTTGATTTTTCTTTTGTAAGATGGGATAAGCTTTTTTCCCAGTGTCCCTCTGTTAATAAGTGTCACTAGGTAGTCAATTGAGAAGTGGATCACCTAACTGTTTGATGTCCTGGGCCCAAGTTTATTGTGGATCCTATCCCGTTGTGTTCTACAGATCTTCCAAAACATTCTGCCAGGTGTTACAGTTTAGATAAAGTGGCTCTTTTCTGTTCTCATGTTAAACCTCCACCTTTAGGTTTAATTCCATAAGGCTATGAGATGAAAGTGCTGCCATTACATCAGTTCCTGCATGTTGTTGAGAGGAATTTTCTAGCCTTCCCTGAAAATCTCTTATAGTTTCATCTATTCCCATTCTCATATTTGAGTCATGGCAAAATCTGTTGTTACTGGAACTGTCTTCCGTGGGTAGAGCTTTCAGGAGGCTGACTGACTTTGAGGTCTTTCTGTGACTATTAAAAAAACCCTAGCTTTATTGCAGAAACTAGAATCCTACAAATCCCCCTTTTAGACAATCTAATCAGCTTTTAGTATCTAGAATTTAGCATCTGAGAGTCCAGCCAATATGGCATAGGTCAGGTGACTTTGAGTCATATACACCTAAAGAATTCCTATCTCTTGCAGACTAATTGCTAATATTTTCTAAGTTTAGGGAAGTTATTTATCATTCATAATTGAACTTGATCCAAGGTTTAAATTATACAGCTGCTTACATACTTGGTCACAGTAGAGATAGATCTTTAGGGACAACTGATGCCTTAGGGAGGTCACTGAGAAAAGAGAAGGAATCCAAAAGAGTAGAGGTGTGGAAGAGGGAAGATCAGAAAGATAATGGCAAAAAGGGACAACGGGGTTTAAGGAGGCAACTCTAAGTTGTGGATAAGGAGAATTTACTAAGGCAATGAACCTAGGTTGCTGTTGCTGAAGTTTGCCAAATTACTCACTGGCTTTGGTCAAAGAGACTCAGGGCATTTTTTATTCAGAATTGTGTTTGAGGGCCTCTGCATACTGATCAGAGCAAAACAAATAACAACAAATACTGCCCATTGAGTGAGAAATACTAGTCACTTTCTTTTTAAAGCTGTCTCTCAAATACACCATCTTGTGCAGATCAAATATGCCCTAAGATGACTATTAAATATCCAAATCATCCTACGTGAAGTTGGGCCATAATTTACTTATATATCATTATTCTTTAACTTTTTGTTGCAATTTGATGAAAAGCTTACAGAGCAAATTGGTTTTCCATTCAACCATTCCTGCACTTTCGTTTGTGACATTAATTACAGCCCATAATGTAGCAGCACTCTTCCTGTAATTGCTTCCATTCATCGTTCTAGCCTCTCCCTTCCTGCCTTCTAAGCTTTATCCCTGGGCAAATGTTGCCCTTTTGACCTTGTGTCATTTGTTTTAAGGAATGAGTTCCTCTCTGATGCCATTGTTCACTTTATAAACGTGTATACTTTTTGGTTGAAAGTTGAGCTATGGAGATGAGTTCCATTCCAGGCTCAAATGTAAGGGTGACCTGTAGCCATAGACTCAGGGTTCACTAGTCTCTATCAGCCCAATAATCATGATCATTTTAAGCAGTGCCACATAGCGAGGTACAAGAATTAGGATTGTAATAAAGATATATATAACAATGACATACCACTTCTAACTTACTTATGAAGACTTTTATCAGGAAAAAGAAAACAACACAAGCCAACCCTTCTCTCAATATTGGAAAGAATATGATGAAATTAAAACTCCTATGCCTTGCTAGTAAAAGTGAAAAAAGGCAGTTCCTCAGAAAAATGAAATACAGAATTGTTGTTGTTATGTACCATTGAGTAACCCAAGACTCATAGTGGCATTATATACAATAGTTCTGAACCCTACTCTATCCTGAGTCAGTCTCACTGACTCTGATACGCCTAATCCCGTTGCCCCTGTTACTATGTCAATCTATCTCATCTGGGGTTTTCCTCTCTTGCGCTGTCCCTCCACCCTTCCAAGCATGATGTCCTTCTCCAAGGATTGGTCCCTCCTGACCACATACCCAAAGTATATGAGATGGAGCTTCAAAATCCTAGCCTCCAAAAAAGAATCTTCATTTCACTCTCTCTAAAACAGACTTATTTGTTCTCCTGGCAGTCCATGGTATGTCCAGTACTTTTATCCAGCACCACAACTCAAAGGCATTAATTCTTCTGTCATCCTTAGTCATTGTCCAGCTCTCTGATGCATAGACAGTAATTGCAAAGCCCATGGCCTGGATTAGGCATATCTTAATTTCTAGACTGGTATCATTGCTCTTTAGCATTTTGGAGCGGTCCCTGACAGCAGACTTCCCCAATGCAATTTGGGTTTTTTACTTCCTGACTGCTGGTGCCAAGAGTGTTGATTGTGAAGCTGAGCAAGCTGAAATTGATAACAACCTCCGTCTCTTCACTATCCATCATGGTGCTGTCAATTGGCCCAGTGGTGAGAATATTATACTAGCGTTCCAGATCTAAAGGAAACATCACCTTAACCTGGAAAATTATCCTGCTGTGACAGCAGTGTACTGCAAATGGAAGAAGAGAGGTCCTAAATCACAAGAAGTCAGTCTTGGAGCAGAAGCTCAAGGGCAAAGACTTTTCCTCAGATCTATCTGAGACAGAAATCCTTTCCTCAATCTAGAAACTCAAGAGAAACCAGAAGCAGTGTAAGAGATCAGCAGTATCATGAAGTGCTAGGCATCACAGAAGTAAATTAAGGCCAAAGCCATCACATCAAGGGTTGGCTGGGGAGAGAAAAGTAATGAACAAGGTAGGCACCAGTGGAAGGCGATGCTGGTAGAGCAAAGAAAGGGATGAGTCAAGACACATGTGTGAGGGTGAGGGTGACACTGAATCTATTGATTACTTCTATAATGGGGAAATGTCTTTCATCTGCTTTTTGTTGTAAAATACATGTCTGTCAAATACTGTTCAAAAGCTGAGCATTCAAATTAAGACAGACTAGGAAAAAGGATTAGCCATCTACTTCTGAAATAACAGGCCTTTGAAAACCCTTTGTACAATAAAGCACACTTACAGTAGACTAGCAGATATGGCAACTGAGACCGAGCCTACAAAATTGGAAATGCAAAGGAGGAGGAACAGCTGTAAGCAGATGCTAGTTATTGGTACGTAGAATTGGAGAAGTATGACTGTAGGAAAATGGAAAGAAATGGAAATATAGAATTGCTACCTGTTTAATACCCACTGCCATCAAGTTGATTCTGACTCACATCAGCCCTATAGTATTGGGTAGAACTACCCCACAGAGAGGACTTCCAAATCTTCACAGAAGCAGATTGCCAGGTCCTTTCTTCCAGGGGCTTGATGAGAATTTGAACTCCCAGTTTTTCAGTTAGCAGCCAAGTGCCCATTC